TTTTCTTTTTAAATTTTTTATTTTTTTAATAAGTATTGACAGGCAAAAAATATCCACAAATAATTACATAGATTTTTATTAAGATGCATGATCTAGTCTCATTTTGCCACACCAAAAAAATACATAATCAGTGACTATGTTTTAACATTTTCTGAAATCCAGCAGTGTGATATATGAGGGTTGTCAGATACTAATCAGTAAACTAATAAACTAACTAGTATCGAAACTAGATACTCATTTAAGCGTTACTGAAAAATAAAATTACATTACTAAATTTAATGGTTTCATCTTGAATTTTATCAGAACTAGTGTAAAACTATATGGTATAATAAACAAATACCATTATGTTGTGTTTAGAATGACAATATTGTTTAAAGTTAAAGTTTCACTATGCAAATTTTCTGATAGAGGGTCCGCCACCTGCTTGTCCTGTTATTGCTTTGCCTGTAATTTTCCATAGTGTGACTTATAAACAGGTGACACCGCCAGGCCAAGTCACTGTGGTAAGGAGCATCAGTTCACAGTACGAATGCATGTTTGTTTCTTTTTTTAAGAAAGTTCTTTGTAACATTTCTGTAACTGAATATATGCAATATATACAGTAGGAATCTTTTATGCTCTACAGTCCATTTCAGGAATGGAGGTGAGTAGGTGGCAGATCCTCTACCAGAGAAGTTACATGGTGCAGCTTTAAATAAACCTTAGAGTCAGCATATTGACTAGAAGCTAAAAGAATTCAGGTAACACAACAATATCAGCGGGCCATATCAAAGTGACAGCATTTGACCGATATCATTTGAACTCTAAATCTAAGCCATTACTGCTCCATTCCTCTATTACACTGGAGTGGCCAATGATGATGGCTGTGACACATGGTCGATGCACAATAGATTTTAGCTCTGAACCATTGAATATGCACAAACAAGCACACAGTAGCCTCTGACCTTGCCTGCATTTAAAGTAGACTGTAGCGCCCAGCAGTCTGTCTGCACCAGAGCTAATTGACTAGAGCTGCGTGTTCACTGTTAGCGTCTCATTACTCATTCCACTTAGAATAACTTCCACAAGTTTGCTTGTGTTCTGGGGTCATTATGAGTCAAGCAAGCCTTTAATTACAAAGCTGATCAAAAGTAAGTAAAGATGATGCCCCGGCATGAGTCTATAGTAGTTTTTCATTCAATTCTTCACCCCATTCCATTTCACTTTATACACTAATAATAGCTTACATTATTATTTTTTCCCTGAAGAAACAAATTGTTCTAGTGTTTCCCAAACTTTTCTGTCCAGCTTTTGCAATTGTGCAATGATTCGTGTGTAAATGTGTTTACTTTTACTATTGTAGTGTGACGAGACTTGGTTTCCACAAAACTAGATGAGATATGAGACTGGGTCCACAAGAATGAGACAATGCGAGATTTTTGCATAATTTATAATAAATAAATTGTGCAGTTCAGCTCTTAATTTAGGACTCCCCATTTTTTCTTTATTTAACATTTTCAGTTTTATTGTAGAGCTGCTTTTTGGAATTACAGTTTTGCAAGAAATGTAACTCGCCAGCACGTAATCCCTTTGCCCAAGCCAAATTTAAACGTGAAAATAATTCATAAGAGCATTTGTCTGTGCACTATTTTGTCTCGCCAGATCTTCAAGAGGTCTTGTTCCATCCATCCATTTTCCCTTGTGTTACTGATATAGCCATCCAAAATCTTAAAGAATTTGCTACAAAGAACCTCAAATACTATTCACTTTCATTTTCTTTAAATGAAAGTAAATTTCGGGTAACCCCATAGTGGTCATGTTCCTGTGCCTCTGATTGGGAAACCCTTTTCAAGCACCATTATAACTTACTGCCATCAATAGTCACTGGATCATGAAATAATTTAATTATTTTTTATTCAGAAATAATAATAATAAATTCTTAGTTTTCCATTCTCCCTCAATAAACTTGTACATACATAGTAGCTATGTAAATTGATTGAAGTAATCCAAATCGTTTTATGCAAGTAAAAGCTTTTGTGCTGAACCTACTTAAACTTGTATTGTAAACCAGATCTCATGATTAACAAAGGCATCACCAAAGAGCGTGGTACATGTTCGTGTACATCAAATAGCCTACATCTATTATACCCACCTCCAGGGTACTTATCTTTTCTAAACCTTTACTTCCACGTCATTATTTATTTCAGGCATATTAGCAGGACTTTTTCAGGATTCCCCCCCCCCCCCCCCCCCCCCCCCCTTTTTTTTTTCTTTTCTTTTTTGTTTGTTTCTTTTTTCTTCTTCTTCTTCTTTAAAAAAAAAAACAGTTTCACTATTTAATATTTTATTTCCAAATGATCTTAATCTCGAAAAAACGTATTGGCCTACAGACAAAATGAAGCAATGGCTCAGTTAAGGTGGTTCCCATTATATTCATGAGGTAATTAAGTGATCAAAATAATTCGCTCCTTTGTGGTTTACTGCAGGAATAAAATAAAATGGCAATATTGTAAATATTTGGGGAGACATACTTTAATGAATACCGAAGTGAAATCTCGGGGGAGCGTTTTAGGACGCGGAGGGCCTATGCAAAGCAGCCTGCACGAAGAGAACACCAAGCTTATCTAAACATTGCGTCACGTGATTTGTCCAAAGCGATCCTTTTTTAATAATTCACTCTGGCTAATGTTCCACATCTTGATGAAATATGGGAGTCTTTATTGGTCGGTCTGCTGTGCTAATTGGTACAAGCGCCGCGGGCAAACTCACATGCAGCCAAACGGAGCACTGCGTCGTTCACAGCTCTGGCACAGGGACAAGGAGGAGCTAAATGTACGTATGACAAGCAAAGAGATAGTATTACGTCGACATAAAGCTATTTTATATCTCACATGATATTTTAATACGAACTTACAGTAAGTTAAATCAAATCAAAAAGGTAGATTTGAGCATGCGTTTGTGGCGCGCTTGGGGCTATCATTTTGGCCCGCAGCTGACTGCATTAACCATATCGTGTCACCGACTGTTTAGTAAAACACTCAAATCGATCTTTCGCATTGTCTGACTTTAACAATAACCAATAACAAAAGTAGATATCCATCCGTACAGCACCTAGGAAGCTTAATGACGCGTAACGGATTTTGTGCGCTTTTATGCAAACATCTCCAAAGCCAGTTTTGTGTATGTTGAACGTTTCCCTCCACAAATTAAAATGATGGGGAATTCGTGTTCTTATTCTATCAATTGGGTTGAGTTGTGTGTTAATTTGAGTAATGCACTGTAAATCTTGATGAACTTAAGGCTACATTTAGCTGCAGACATTAAGTAAGGATTAAATCTGGGACATGAAGGACGACTCCGCACCATATTGTAGCCTACATCTGCTTTTAAATCCACAATGAATTAATACGACCGTTGATAACTGTCCAGGATTGGCTTATATTTCTAGGCCCAGACAAAAAAAAAAAAAAAAAAAACCGTCATGACACACATTTTAGGAAAAAACCTACATTTGGGACTCAAACTTGTAATTCTAGTAAACCACGAAATATCTTCTATCCATATGCCCACATTAAAATAAGAATGCGTTTGAGATGGGGTCTGTAGCGCGTTTTCCAGAAGCAGCTGATGCATTTCAATAAGGCAGCCTAATCACTCACCCGGGGCATGTTTCATTTATTGACAGATTTGATGTTAAATGTCTCAAGCTCACTTAGTGTTGTAGCTCTTAATTTATTATATTTGGAGCTACGTCTCTCTCTCGTTTGACCCCGCCAGGTCACACAAGCAATTCTTTTTTCAAACGCATGATTAATTTCTCAGTAGGGCGAGCGTCAAATGCGTTATGAAAAGAGTTAAATCTGTTCCAAAGGGAAGTAATACTGTGCTGTTGTATTGCGGTAAAACGTTTTCTTGATTTGCCTGGATAACGTCGCCTATACAAACGTTTACGCACGCTGTATTTCCAAAAATAAATTGGGGATAGGATGATGTTTGTATACCATATAACCTGTGCTCGTGCGTGGGATAGTTAATTTAGAAAAAAAACAAAAAACAGATAAGACTTTCTTGGTAAGATTTTTTTTAAAGTATGTTTAATGAAAGCAGGACATTAATAGAAGGCCTTTTGAACATTCTTCTAACCAAGTGAGTAGTTTATCTGTGTTTTTGAATCACTTTTTTTTTTCCAGTTGTCTTTTATTAGCCATTTACTTCCATCATGTTGGCTACATTTAATAAATCCTGGGATTAACCTATATGTCCATATCTGTCTCTATTGTGACGTAACAACCCCGTGCGCGCGTCCTAAGTGTGTGTGTGTGTGTGTGTGTGTGATCGGCATGGCTCGTGTCCCACCGCGGCGTGCGCTCCGGTGGCAAAACAAAAGCACTGCACGCACTGAGTGACAGGCTAAATTGGTTTTAAAAGGGAGCAGATGGGGCTCACTCCACGCTCTGCCTCCGCGCCGTTACGCACACGCACGAGCACACGCAGACGCACCAGCCGATTGAGACGTAAAACCGTGATCAAGTTTATAGACAAACTTAAGCAAAGATTAGATCAAATTCGCCTTTTTGTGTTCACACATAATTAAGAATCATTGTGTTTTAAGCACAGTTTCCATAAATATTTAGCCTATTATGGTAATTACAGGCTTTTTATTTTTTCTTCCAAACAAACCGAATAATAAAAGTGTTAACATTTGAAATTATTATCCAGGTCTGTTTTGCTTTCCCAAGTTCCAGAAAAAAATATATTACAAAAATATCAAAATGTCTTCCAAAAACATAAAAATGACATGAATACAAGAAATTCCAATCTCTCATAGATGTTGAAAAATTATGCGGGTGAGAATTCTTTACATACATCATATTTATTATTCCATAGGCCAGATCTTTTTTTCCAACATTTGAAAGAATTTGGACATGTCTCGTAATTTTTGAAATTAATATCTGTTTGTATTTGAACCCTACATTCTGAAAATATGTGGAATCATTTCATCTTTGACTTCTGTTTTTAAGGAAGAGCCATCTCAGGAGACCGTGCCCCTACCGCCTCTCGGGACACCTAGCTGGACTCTCATTTTGTGGGCTAAAATAACTACACCAGGCAGAACTATTGCTGGGCCCTCTTCAGGTGGATTTGAGCGGCTGGCTGGGAGCTCCTCTGACCCTCAATTACACGGGACCATGGGGGCTCCAGTGTGCCTCCCGCTGCCTTTTCTCTCCTGGGAACGAGCTGCACGTGTGGCCAGAGAGTCGGGTTTCCAGCAGCAGCCTTCCTCCTCTCCTGGGCGTGCTCTGTCAGACACTCACATCATACTGTCTGCTTTCTCTGCATCTTCAGCTCCATGCTGCGTTGGTGCAAGTCCTGTTTAAATAAATAATAGGTTTCATACAGCATGATTATTTTTAAACTTTCTGAATATGCAAATGGTTGGTAAGTTTTAAATATTTTTTCAAAAATTTTATAATCAGGTTTGGACCTTCTTTTGGATCTTCATTTGACCACTTACTTCTTAGTCAAACCCATTGACCCATTCATTCAGTGAAGCAGTTTTCGTCAATTCCTGAACAAGTCTGTTTCAGAAATTTGACCGTCTTATCCAATAATTGAAACCTACAAACCAAATGAATACAAAAAAATAATAGCCTATTTAGTCTGCTATGTGTTTTGAGGACTCATAGGATTCAAAAGATATACCCTCATATTTAGTTCTAAATTGTTAATTACTATGGCAACAGTGGGGCTTCGTCACTCTCAGACTTATGGATATGTGCTCCATTGTTTCAGTTGTTTATTATTATTTTAGTACAATTCGTCAAATGTAAGATTAAGATTTGGGTTATTTTGTCTCTATATCTTGGAACATATCAATCAACAAAACAAAAATATTTCACAGGCCATCTTTTTGGATTACTAATTTTGTCACGATTTTATGAAATTACAATCCAGAATGTAATGGAACTTCTATAGTGTGCGCCCCACTTTGTACGTGCTGTGCGTCAGATTCCCTTTTCTAGTCCACGGCCAGACAGTCCGGCTTGCACAGGTCAGGCGTAGGGCACTCTCGTACATAAGGCGAATAGGTCGAATAAAAAAAAAAGTGGAATAAAAGTGTCCGCTCGTGCGCCCTGTAGCTGGTGGGCTGAGCTCGTGCACGCCAATCAAAGTGAAGACGCGGGGGCAGGTGAGCGCGCAAAGAGGAGAGGGAGGGATTAGTGCGCGCTCGGTGCTTCTCACAGCCGAATAAAGGCTCGGCAGCGCGCCACTTTACTCACATCTCACACGCAGCTTAGAGCACGGACCAGAGCGAGCCCGGCGCCCTGTATCACTTTTCGCAGCTTTATCTAGATTTTCGGGCGAAGTTTGGTCACTTTGTCGTCCGCGTAAAGATGTGTTTGCGGCCGCTGCTTTGGATACGTGGGACGTGCTCTTGACCGGGACCGTTATAACGAGGCTGTGACACTTCTCAACACTTCTCTGGAGTTATCAAAGGTACGTGCGACTGTCAGTCTACTGCAATTTGGAATTTATTGCGATTATGTGTTTTTAATTTTTAAACATTTATTCTGTAACCTACAAACATAAATTTTATCGGCATAAATGTCAATTTCCGCCACGTGTTTTCTAAGAGTGTGTGCGAAACCACCAATAAAAAAAAATATATATATATATAAAAAATATATATATTTATACATATTTGAAGGCCTTCTCCAGCACGCTTCAAAACTATTACCCTCCTGAATGTTTTTTATTTGGCAGTATTTTATCGCAAATTATTGCGTTTACATTATTGATGAAATGGCCGTATTATTTTAAAATGTACTACACAAAGAAAAAGGCGACGAAGCAGCAAGAGCACTGTCATAAAGATATTATGCCGCTTACTTGAATGTTCTACATCAAATGTTACATTACGCATTAAGTTTGAAAACATTGCTGTTCCAGGTTCGGCTCGGTTTTACGCAGATAAAATTATGAGCTTTCTGAAACAGATGTAAAAGAGAAATATAATATTATTGTATTTTGTAGACCTGAATAATATTTATATGAAAAATATGGGGTAATGTCCAAGATTTTTAGTGGGCCTATAAATAAAATAGATTTACAGCCAATAAATACTGGCCTAGAGATTTGAGATTCTAAAGAGATTTCATGCACGCAAAAAGCAATACTACATATATATATATATATATATATATATATATATATATATATATATATATATATATTATATATATTTATAATTGCCTTCTATTTTTTGCATAGCCTATATAATTTTAATTACATCTGTACAAAATGTTTTAATTTAGCTTTGATTTAAAGGGAACATAATAATTCCACTTTTAAACCTAATTAAATATGTGATTGTCCTGTTACAAAATATTCTATATTTATTGCACTTAAGTGTTTTGCTTATATATTTATTTTATGAGTATTATTAATATTTTTAGTATGTTAAAATTCTTACAAATTATTCAAATATAAACACACTTTCAACAAGTGTTTCATGGTCACAATTACAGTTTTGTAATGTACCAAAGCTACTTATTTTCACTTGAATTTCTTTTAAAAGTGTGTGTGCGGGTTAATGTATATATTTTTATTTTTCTATTCTTTTTCAGGCTGCTCTTCACTTTGTCCCTGTCCGATATGGATAAGACACATTTATCCAGTCCAAACGAACTAATCATGACATCTTCAACGGGCCCATATCAACCGGAGCCCCTAACCCCACCCCGAGGGAACCACATGCACTCTTCCTCCTCTTCCCCCTCGTCCTCCTCACCTCTCAAGCCCAACCAGGTGGGACAGGTCATCCTCTACGGTGTCCCAATAGTATCACTTGTCATAGACAACAATGAGAGACTTTGCTTGGCGCAGATCTCCAACACCCTCCTGAAGAATTACAGCTACAATGAAATCCACAATCGGCGTGTGGCCCTAGGTATCACGTGCGTTCAGTGTACTCCTGTCCAGCTTGAGATACTACGACGAGCGGGTGCCATGCCCATCTCATCGCGCCGCTGTGGTATGATCACCAAGAGAGAAGCTGAGCGCCTCTGCAAATCTTTCCTGGGGGAAAACTCTCCGCCCAAACTCCCGGACAACTTTGCCTTCGACGTGAGCCACGAATGCGCCTGGGGTTGCCGTGGTAACTTCATCCCGGCGCGCTACAACAGCTCTCGGGCCAAGTGCATCAAGTGCTCATTGTGTAACATGTACTTCTCCCCCAATAAGTTTATCTTCCATTCCCACCGCACTCCTGAGTCCAAGTACATGCAGCCAGACGCGGCCAACTTCAACTCGTGGAGGAGGCACCTGAAGCTGTCTGAGAAGCACCCGCCCGAGGAGCTGGTGTACGCCTGGGAGGATGTCAAAGCCATGTTCAATGGGGGCAGCCGTAAGCGTGCCCTCCCGCCCTCCGCCCACTGCTCCTCCATGGGCCCGGTCAAGTCTCTGCCCGCCTCCGTTATGCCACACATGATGGGACCGGACCTGTCTCAGAAAAGGGCCCGCTTCGACGATGACGAGGACTTGGACAGTGATAGTCTTTCTCCTCGTAAGACGCCTCGTAGTTACCCCGTCATCCCTGTGCCCAGTAAAAGCTTTGGCATGCTCCAAAAGTTTCCCCCAACTTCACTGTTTCCCTCACCCTACCCCTTCCCTGCCTTCGGCCTGTGTCAGCAGAAGAAAGAGGACAGTGATGTGTCAGTGGGTCAGAAAGGAGCAGGCCTGTCTGGCCTGTTATGGCCGGGGCGTAAGGACACATTCTACCCTCCTTTCTGTATGTTCTGGCCTCCCAGAACAGCAGGAGGGATCCCTGTGCCCACGTACCTGCAGCCTCAGCCAAGTGCTCTCTCTCTGACAGAGAACCCCTCCCTCAGACAGGCCTTTTTAGACCTGTCTGATCCCTCTGAGCCTGGATCTGGGGTGGGCTCCACCAATGCTGTCACTGCTTCTATCAGCGGCAGCAGTGGCACCACCACACCCAGGTCTGGACTCTTTGACCCTGAGTGCCCAACGGTGACCTCTGACCTTCGACCTGTAACCTCAGAGGGCTGGCTCAAACTTCTAGACACTCCAACACTACAGAGCCGAAAGCCCAGCTATGGTTCTGCGTTCCGGCCTGTAGTAAAGGACGCTGAGAGCATCGCTAAGCTCCACAGCGGAGGAGGTGGTACTGAGGAGGAGTTTGGAGCAGTGAGCGCATCGGAGCGCCTGCACAGAATGTCCCCCAGCAGCAGCTGCAGCTACGGAAGTGAGAGTGCCGCAGAGCCCGGGGACAGTGAGGAGGAGGGGGAGGTGGATGTGGAGTCATCCAAACAGGACGAAGAGGAGCAGAGAGGTGCTCCGTATCTCCCTGTGGCCCAGGACAGAGGGAAGGACAGGGGCATGAGCACGGTGTATCCCAGTTCCTCCCCTCCATCCTCCTCTGAGCCAGGCCTGCCCACCTCCCCTCCCGCCAGCTCCTCCCCGCCCCACCGAGAGGACCCTGCATACAAAAACGTAAATATACCCCCAGGCCACTTGAGCTAATTATTATTTAAATGGTGCTGCAGTCAGGCAGTGATGTGATCTGCATAAGCAGATTGATAGGCCGTGTGCTCCCTGTAGAAATGAAACAGTCACCCCACTTTGATCCCAGCTAATAGGCCCTGTGCAGCACGGTGTGTTTGTTCTCTCTCTGTCACTAGAGCCTGTTAGGGCAACTCTAATCTTTAACCTGTCGACTCCCCATTAGCAGCACAACTGCAGTGCTGAACAACAGTTTAGACAACAGCAGGTTTAATTGTCCATGGAAACACTTGAGTGAAGCTATTCAGGAAATACATTAACAGACGTATGCACCAACATTATAATTAACTTTTTACGGCTCTGTAGATTTAAATGTGCAATGCAATATTAAGCCTTTATTGTTTCCTTACAGGTACACAAAAACAGAGACGAAGGGCTCCCTGCATATGCTACCAAAGACAGCTCCAGCATCACAGGTAAACACACGATTCTTCATTTTGTAATTAATATAACCAATTGAGACCACTCTTATCAAAGCATTCGAAAAATATTTCTGCATACCAAACTGTGTATATTTTATTCAAAATAGATGCAAGCTATACATTTTTGTTTTAAAGTTTTGTACAATCTCAATCTTTACAGTATATTCAAATTCCATAAACTATTTCAAAATATGCCCTCATGCCTCTTTCATGTTGCCTTTATTTTTTGCAACTTGTTTTCATCAAATGTTTGCACAGCTTTTTACTCAGTGTCATCAGACGGCATTACAAAACCTATCCGGGCAGTTACACACTATCTGTTCCATCAGATAGTGCTTCATATTCCTGTGACATTTCATTTGCCAATGTGTGTGTATGTGTGTGTGTTTGTTGCGGCGTACACAAATGGTTTTCTCATAGCAGCAGGCACACTTAGTTATCTCTACTTGTGCGGATAACGGGCTCACCAATGGGCCTTACTGATTCGCTCTGTGCTGTTTGCACTTTTGCAGATGAAAACAAAGACAAGAGTAGTTTTTTCGTGACGGAGAGTGAAACTACAGCGCCGGACTACTGGAGAGAGTCGTCTGGTAGGGCTTTTTTAAAAATGTGTTTCTTTTATGGTACCCAAATTTACTTTTTATGTAACGCATTTTATAAACACAGAATTTCCAAAATATCACACACAGACAGTAAACAATAAAAGATGACAAAAAGGATGAATGATACATTTTTACCTTTCTAGTTAAAAATAAAATAAAACCAATACCAGCAAAAATAAATAATTAATTAAATTAAATACTTTCATAAAAGAAGCAAAATAAATTGATTCCTTATTTGCCTAAAATTTGCTGACTCTTTGGTGGAATCAAACAAGGTTGTTGCTGTAAATGAGAATTGGTTCTTAATCAATACTTTTATTATATTAAAACAAATAAATTGATAAAAAAAATAGCATTAATTATAATAATTTTGAACTGAAATTTTGACATTTTATCTCACTTTTGCATCTAAAGAAAAAATAAGTATGATGTTAGTAAAGTAAATGGCGACTAAAACCCCATTGCTAATAATTATTCTATTTATTCAAGTTTGATTACCTCGATCTGAAATATGTGTAACATTTGGAAGTTTTTTCAACAGTTACACCTCATATTGATTAAACAATCCCTGTATATTGACGAACGCGGGTGGCAAACACAATCATTTACTTTGACTGATTCATAGCCTCAGCATAAACAGCACTACCTGTACCTTCACAAATGATACTTTCTATCTCCAGAACAGGTAAATGTGTGTGCTGATTTTAAAGTGTAGAGAATGATGAAACTCAAGGAGGACGGTGTGTACACTATGGTAGCGTTGTTACTCTTCAGGGGGCCGTTAGAGTTCAACTAGCAAACATCATCTCATCTCCATCTTAGACCCGTATCACCACAAACGTAATTGGGTTTCTCTCCCGTTCGCCGCCAAACAAGCCTTCCTCGTTTGAAAAAGATCGCCGCTTATTGCCTTTTTATATCTGTCAGGAAGACATTAAAAGTGCTTTATGACATCTGTGCCAACATTTATATCTACAACCCCCCCTCCTCTTCCTCCTCCAACACGCGCCGCAATGATCCCCGCGCATAATGTATAATGTATTTCGAAAAATTACACGAAACAAATTAAATGAGACCACCTTTTCCCCTGATTGCCAAACGTCTCCCTGGGCGGTGGGAAGCTCTACGTGATTAGAAGGCCTTATTCCTCCGAGTGGTAGCCCCCCTCCTCCTCGTCCTCATACCCCCAGCCACTGTCTTTAAACTCTCCCTCTGTTTCTAGGGAGGAAAAATAATCTAATTTTCCATTTATGTAATGCAAACCGCCTTGGCTTTGACTATTCACGGTTAATTGACTGTCAAACGAGGTTGTTATCCTCGGGCACTGTCTGCAAATTTGCTTGTCAAATGAGACAGAGAGAGAGGAGAGAGAGAGGAGAGCTGCTCGAAATGAGAGAGGGGGAGAAAGAGAGAGATGCATATGCAAGCTGAAGGAGGTATAGAAAAAGCACAGGAGCGGCACTCATTCAAATAAAATAAACAAACAGCAACGACTCTAGACAGCAAGGACTCTAGACATCCAACTGTGTAAAAAGATGACAATAACGCATTTCTTAGATTGTTACAAATTTAGCAAAAAATCTTTAAAAATGTATTATGTGATTCAGGGTCTATAAGTGATGTAACAGCAGAATTCTGGAATGTGTTAGCAGCAATTTAACAAGATAATATTGCAATAAAAAAATCATTAAATTCAAATGAAACCTTGTGAGCATCATCACATTTTCACTTTTATTACATATTTATTTTTATTTCCACAACTGTCATTGTGTCCTTAGGGCAAGATACTTCACCCATATTTCCTTGTATGAATGTTATGAGTGAGTGTTGATGGTGGGACTGATAGTACAGATTGGCAGCCTCGCTTCCGGCAGTTTGTCCCAGGGCAGCTGTGGCTACAACAATAGCTTACCACCACTTTGAGTTGTCAAAAACTACTACTAGATATTATTTTGAGCAAATATTCATACTAAATAAGTTATATTCACAGGACAAAATTTGATCTTTATCACAAGTATATGATCTCATGGTCACATAAAAAAGTGCACTTATTTTGTATATGAAGAAAGGAGCATTTTTTATCTTCATTATGGTATCGTAATCAGTATCAAGTACTGAGTCTTCTCCTTAGTATTACAATCCATAATCAAGTTTGCAATTTTAGTATCGCGACAACACTACCACCACCACTACGTGAAATATAAATAATGAATAATATAATTTAAAGCCTTTTGGGTGTCTTGAATGGCACTGTATAAATACAACGCATTCATTATTATTGTTAAATTATTTGCAGAAATCACCTTTTACCATGTAGCACATTAGTTTCAAACAACCTGTTCATTTGTAAGAGCTGTAACCAGCAGTCACCAGACGCTTTCTTCCGTATGTGGTGGATATGTACTGACACCTACTGGACTAAACGGGAACTGACAAAATTGTAACGCATTTATTTGGAACTGTGGAGTATGGATACTGTTTGTGACAAGTGCTTGTTGAGTGGTGCAAGATAATTTGTCTAATATTCATGTATGTATTTATTTGCAGGGGATCAAAGCCAAGGAGCCTCCTCTCCTGCCTCCATGAAAAAGGACGTGGAACATATGGAGAAAGGTACAAGATCACTACTAATAGTGAATGTAGTTTTAAACTGATTTATCTAGTTCAGTACTGGGCTGCCATAAAAAAAAAAAAGTGACTCAAAGTTCAATATTTTTAGTTACAAATGTACGCTAAAATTATTTTTGCACTATGCACTATACAAATGGAAATTCTTGGTTGACTTAAAAGATGCAGATTAGTTGAGTCAAAGAGTGCATGGCAAAATGTCCCAACACTATAATGATGTAGCCAAGCAATTGCACAGGATTTCAATTAAAAATCAACTATTTAATCAAAAATGTACTAGGAAACAGCATTTATATGTAAAAGGAATCCCTTATAAATCCATAAACTAATAAAATAATTAGTGGACTAATACAAGTTTTGGTCGACTAAGACAGACTATTGACCAGTTCAAACGACCAAAGGCTGGTAGACTATAGCCCTACACTTTACTATTATTTAATCAGTCCTTTTATTCAAAATGTAACACTGCCAAATCAATATTGTACATTCCCATATTTGTGAAATTTCCATTTAGATAAATAAATTGCCTTCCATCTCAAATTTTGATATGTTACTGATTCTTATATTTACTCTTTGATTTTTGGAGTCTGGCATTTTTCGTTCGCAGTATCTAATGTCCTTGTGTGCTTTATAGAGGAGCTTCAGAAAGTTCTACTGGAGCAGATTGACTTCAGACGCAGACTGGAGCAGGAGTTCCACGCTCTCAAGGGCACTTCACCTTTCCCTGTGTTCCGTAAGTCCCTCTCTCCTTGAACACTGCATTGTAAGGGACTCTCTCGTTTCTGTCTAGTGTGCCTAATATGGGCTGATGATGATTTGGTTAATTCATAATCCCTAAATGTAATGTCTCTTTTTAACAGACTGTTTGTGTCACATTATCTATTCTTAAGGGCCTGTACCTGTATATTCACTGATGTTATGTAGATGTTATTTTTATATCAAATAACTACCGATCAAATTTGTATTAAAACCCCAAGCATTCAAAAACTTCTGGACCAGCTCAAACAAGTAAATAGTCTTATTACATCAATTTATAAACCCAACCAGAATATTAGCAGATCTGTTATTGTGGAGCCAATACCCGGTCCAGACAATTTTCACAATTTGGCACTGATAGACGATACCAGTATCAGTCCCTAATTGTTACTAAGAATCATGGGAAACCACCTGCCTGACACTGTTCCAGATACTTGATTCTCTGTCATGGTGCATTATCAGTAGTGACACATGTTTGACTAACCCTGTAATAATCTCTCAACATCTCTAAATGCTCTGTTCCACCTTGTGATGTCATGTAGTAGTAGTTTTCAGTTAACAGTTACCATTTACTTTGTTTGAAGTTAAGTAGAGATTGAAAATTTCAGGACTGAAATTATCTAAATGATTCTAGTGAAGGTGTATGGAGTTAAAAAATAAAACAAAACAAAAAAAACACACAGTGGAGTACTTTCTGTATTACCACATGACATCACAAGGTGGTTGCTCCGACTAAATATGCAGGATTTGTGTGTTAAATGTGAATGAAACAAAACACAACTCAGTTTTTTTGTTATGAGGAAACAACATTACAACAGATCAGAAAATAGCGTAATACGGGCTCTTTAAGCATTCAGAAAGTTTGATTTCAAAAAGCTGGTTACATACTAAAGAAGTGACAATGTATTAGACAAATTGAGAGAATTGAAAGAACATGTTTGGTGTCAATAATCGTACAATTGTCATATTTCTTCCCACAATAATGCAAACACTAGAGTTTGATACTGCGACACCTCTTTGCTTTAATTTTTTCCCCTTTGATTTCTCTATATAAGCAACCCTGTGCAGAAGCATAAACTAATTTTGTAATCTATAATTTCAGATAATTTCCAAGACCAGATGAAAAGAGAGCTCGCCTACAGAGAGGAGATGGTCCAGCAGTTACAGATGGTGAGACGGCTGCGCTAATGATGTGTTGAATGCGCACAAATATTCTCGATCTCTTTAAATGGCAATTAAAGCACTAGTTTATGGACGTGTGAAATAGAGACAGTTTGCTTCAATAACCAGCCCCAATAATGATTTTAGTCAAGAGCATAGCAGCACCTAATTATGAAGCACATTTCAAATAATTGTCCAGAATCACCGGATGAAAAAGGGAGATGGGAAAATGCGGGATCATTTTATACACTTTAATAAGCTATTTAAAGGATAGTAATAAAATAAAATAAAGAGAGAGGTTTTAAATTGATGTGTTGGCAAAATTGGCACGTTCTTTTTTTGCAGTCCATCAGAAATGTGTTAAACTTAAATGTATTGCACTAATAGGTTGCTATGTAAAATTAAAGCTTCAGCATGCAGCTTTTTGGTGAGAGTCTGCCACCTGCTTGTCTCCATGGAATTATTATCACTTCACCTGGAATATTCCACAGTACGGCATTAAATGTATCTATCTTGCCTTCATTCAATCACAGGTGCTTTTATTGTTTATACAAATAATTTAAAACAAGCTTTTTTTTGTGATCTGACTTATAACTTGACCTGGCATTGCCTGATTGTTTCCATGGTGATAGATATGTTTAATACCATACTGTGGAACATGCCATGCAAAGCAGTAGTAATTCCATGAAGACAAACAGGTAGCTACACTCCATGAGAAAAGTTACATAGTGCATTTTTAACCACAAAAATGCAGAAATATAAGTTGCAGTATTATGTTTTATATAATTATTTTATTATTTGTATTTTATTATTGACATTACACTTAATTTTATACTTAATTTGCGTATTTTCAAAACAAAAATTTCAATTTGAGCTTGTATGATATATTGCCTACCTCTACTCAAAGTCCTCATTATTTATTTGTGTATTAGTACAGTAGAGTAGCCGAGGCGTTCGTAGTTTGTCTTTCACGGGTGAGGGGCTCGTCCACAGCTTTGTGAATATTTGGGTCCACATCAATCACAGGAGCAGCTGCAGACAGGCTGTTTGTCTTCACTCTGAGACATATGCCACCATGGCTCTTTTTACGCATATGACCACATCTGGAAAACAAGCACGCACATAGTCCCAAAATATACACAAATGATCTGTCATGCCATACGTTTTTATTCAAGTTGATTTGCTAGAACATGCGACACACACTTTAGTGTTTATAATGACAAAATGTTACCCTCTTGGAATTATAGGGTTCCAACTACATTCTAGCTAGTTTTTTGGTAAAATATGGTGATGCTTTAAACTACTCACAAAGCAAAAAAGAATGAATGAATTTATTTCAAACATGCAAACACAAGTCAAGTCAATGAAAGATAATATTCAAAGGCTGCAGAGCTGTAAGTTTATGTATCCAGAAGGAGTGGGAAGAAGTATAATTAATTTAATCCTACGCCCTTTCCTAACTGGAATTTTTAAAATACAGTTTCCTGTTAAATTGAAATTAAATCATTATATTTGTAATTGCATTAACAAAACACAAAAGTATCATAGTAAAAAAAAATCTTGATAAAATGTACAAGATAAAGTATTTTGGATCAAGTAAAGTATGAATACCTACATTTCTAATGGAATTTAAAGTGTCAGACTTGTAATAATGTTTTTGTGTTACACATTTTGTATAGGTGTTTTTAACAGTCATATCTCTGTACTTTTCAGATTCCCTACGCAAATATGATGAGGAAGGAGAAGATTACTTCACATCTGAGCAAATAACTATAAGGTTTATACATTTTTGTGTATTAAAGAGCTTACACTCAGGTTCTCAAATTTGATGATTTAATTTCAGATAAAGGGCAGTTCTGTCCAGTGCTCGTCCAAACTACATCACCCATAGTCCCACACTGCAATTTTTCAAGAATGATACAAAACAATACATTACAACTTCTCAAGTTGTAGATTATGGTGTGATATTGCTCTGAAGGGGGGTGTGACTTAGGGACGAGGGTAAATGGAGAGGGGACATATTAATATGTTGTTTTCAGCAAATATATTATTTTCAAATCAGTAAAAGGTTATATGGTGATCTAAATGTTATGTGTTAGCAATAATATTTCCCCTCTTCAAACTATAGGGATTATAGAATGCTGTGATATCACGTAAACACAACCTATCCATGACTTTCAGAATGATCAAAATGAGGACTGTTGCCAAAGCAATTAACAATTTAAAACTATATTTTGAATGGGTCAAACTGTTTGTAACAGAAGTTGAAACCCATAAATACACAGCCCTAAGTTCCGCAGTGTTATGAATGTTAAAACATTTGATTTTGATTTTTCATAAATCTTTTCATATTTTTACAGACTGAGAGGACACATTTTACAGCTGCGCCTCAACACTGCAAGACTTCAGTCCAATGACATTCAAATGAGATCATAATTCATTATTTGAACTATATAGATTTTATACTTCAATTGTTAATAGGCCTGTACATAGCCCTGACATTTTGGTCTAAGACTTGTGGATTGAGATTCAAAGCTTTACCAAAGCAGGACCAAAGTGTTACAGACAGCTGAATACAGACTGCAGAAGATACCCACAGCTAGAGGAACTTGGAGGGTTGTACTGCCCCTGAACTGCTGCTAACTCTGCTGTTCAGTATCGGGACCATGGATTGACTTCAAATAAATAAGCAACTTTGAATTTTGCGATCCGTTGATGGAGACACATTGACTTTGAAATGCCAGATGAAGAACAAAACAAATCCAGAAGAATCAAAGAGCAGAGTGATTTCGGAAATCTCCATGTTACAGTGCAATAAAAGCTGTTTGTAAAGTATTACATGATAAAATAATGCAATTGTTTTATCATCACAGCCAGTATTAATATTATCAGTGCATGTTTAAGTGACTCATGGCTTTATCTGTCTCGACATCACTGTTTGATTTTTGTAAAATAGTATTGCACCTGGACAAAACTGTAAATATTCGAGTGTACAAAATGTCTCTTGTGAAATGAAACTGTAGACCACTATGTGTTAGGTTGTTTGTTTACGTATTAGGGCTCAACTCCCTGATTGTGGAAAAATGATTATAATTTATTCAATGAAAAATACATGGTGCTGCTGCTAATGGTGTTAATAATGTTAATAATAATAATGATCCGAGCCTATTTGTCAGAAAGAATAAAAAGAGAAATCTCATGTTTAAAGCAGAGTGATTTCTGACACTGTCCATGCACATGCATTATGTTCTTGTATTTTCTAATTCTTTATGTGGATACATTAAATGTCTACAATAACCATTCTGGATTACATGATTTATGCATTTATATTTATTTATGGTTGACTTTATTGTTATTTAGTGATATGCATATAGAAAAATAAAGCTTCAATAGATAAATGAAAACATGCATAAATAAATGGCATATTGTTAATTTCAATAATATTTCTGCAGAAAATTTTTTTTTTTTTTTTTTACAAGAACTCGATCATGTAGCGGAGGCGCGCCATTGTTACGACGTCCTTCGGTGTTTTACGGCAGGCGCATGGGAGTGGTCAGAGGGTAATAGATCGAGGACACCCCCCTTTCTCTCGGAGGAAGGAGCAGATTTGCCAGCATGGCGTTTACACTGTACACTCTGATCCAAACCGCTATTCTCTGCACTAATGCTATCGCCGTTCTGCATGAGGAGAGGTTCCTCAGTAAGAGTAAGTTCTGTTCTACTTGTATTTGTGTGAACACAAACGATGCTAAACTCGAGCTTATTTAGCTTGTGGACAGGCAGCAGCAGCAGCTGCTGATGTGGCTACACCACAAACCAAAATTCAACTCTATCTTTCTTTTATATAACTTGCTCTTGCCTTTTTACTTTACTGAAAAATGAAGTGTTAGCGGCTCCTAGAGAATAAACACAAAACATTAAGGCTGCATTGAAGCAATGCATAATAGTAATAGTATAAGAGATTTACCCAGTAGTAATAACCTTTTGTAATCACAATGTCTTATTTTTGTGCCATGTAGGCTTGATGGATGAAAATCTGGAGATGACTAGTGCTAATTTGCATAACATTACGTTAGACAAAATGTCATATCAATAAACTACATTACATCTCATATGCAGGGTTTGTAAAAGTATGCTGTTACCCAGTATAAAGTTTAAAGTGCCTGAATTGTCTTGTGTGTCTATCTGCAGTTGGCTGGGGAGTGGATCAGGGAGTCGGAGGATTTGGAGATGACCCAGGAGTCAAAGCCCAGGTCCTGAATCTGATACGCTCTGTCCGGACTGTCATGAGAGGTGCTGCTACACTGTTCTTCTCTTGTACTGAATCCTATGAAATACACAATGCTGACACAATTCTTTTGTCACAATACAAAAATGTCAAACTTTATTTCTATATTAAGGAATAGACTTGATACTGCATTCGCAGTAACAAATTGCAGGTCCGATACCACAATCCTCAGTCGATACTTGCTCAAATGAGTTTCGATGCTAGTTTTAGTATTGGATTTTTTACTTTTGACAGTCCTAATACTGCCAGCATAAAAGAATAACTGTCTATGTACTTTCTTTCACAGTGCCTCTAATCATTGTGAATTCGGCCTCCATTGTCCTCTTGCTGCTGTTTGGTTGACAGTGGTGCAAAATGGAGCCAGAAGATTAAACTAGCCAAGAAAACTTTCCACCAGAATACCTCATGGAGCTATGAACTTTGTGGGCACAATACTGCACATCTTTATCTAAAGAACTGAGAAATGCATCTTGGACACTCTGGACACTTGCTGTTGTCTTACAAATGATGTGCAATGTTTTTAAGAGTGAAAATCTAACATGGGACTGAGAGTGGATCATGGTTTATTAACCAGATTTTGAAGGTAAACATTGGTGTGATACAGTTATGGAAATGAGTAATACTGTCATACTTACTACAGAATTTAAGTTTTTGTTCAATGTTTTGTTTTTTTTATAGCCAAAATTAAACATGTTTACATTTTAAGTCATGTCTATTCACAGACTAAATTATTGGACTGTTATTCAGGTAGAGCAAGTACTAAATAGACCAAACAAAGGCACAACACATAATATGAATTTGTTTCCTGTTTTTTTATTTGTAATCTGCTTGCTTTTAACTGCCAATTTAACAAATATTTATTAAAATTTTAGTTTTAAAGCTCAAGGGTTAGAAGGGTGGAGGTAAATCTGCTAGAATTAAAGCATATGTTTAGCAGAGATTATTCATAGTAAGCCACAATGAGCTGCCAGTTTGGAAAGCAACACAAGCAGACAAGAAATGCACTGTATTCCCCCAGAAAACATTTAAATCTGATTTGGGTAGGGTCTTATTGACACAACTTACTTTCTAAATAAATAAAATGTTCTAACAGATATAATAGATTCATATATTTAGTTTCAGTTAAGAAAATGTTAAATGTCCTAACCAAAAACAAGCAAAAGTAGAGTGACTGCCTTGTCTCAGCAGATTTGAGACTTGGGATTTGGGATTTTGTATTTCAAAATCATCAATTTGTCCCAGTTTTATACAAAAAATGTCTCAGGTATGCCTGTTTTTGACCAATCTGATCTCTGCCAACAGTAAAGAGAGGCATAAACTGTCATTTGTTTAGGTAAAATACAGAAAAGCTGCTTAAAAATGACAAAACGCAAAGAAAATGTAACTATACTGATTCACATTAGTGCAGAGTACGTAACAGTTTTCCTTAATTACGCACTTGTTTCACAATTTTATTATTACCGACCAAAATCCGCGTATCATTCGTTTTTCAATATAAAACCAAAAATAAGAAAAAAAATATATATATATTTTCTTCATTATTTGTCTCCAAAACCAAAATGAGAAAACAAATAATGATGTGTTTTTTCATTTTTCAATTTTGTGTTTAAATGAATAATGGAAAAACAGATAACAGCTGTTTCCCTTTTTCGTGACTTAAACTGCGATGCTGGACTGAACCAGCTTTAAACCAGAATTAAACCAGGACTAAACCAGGTCTCAGTCCCGGTCTCAGTCCCGGTCTCAGTCCCGATCTCAGTCCTGGTCTGGTCCTGGTTTCCTGATCACCCAACAGACTACACGGGCACACGTCCGGCCTAGTCCCCACACTCGTGCTTCTGTTCTGGTTTAGTCCTGGTTTAGGACTGAGTCCCGGACTGAGACTAGGACTGAGACCGGTTTAGTCCTGGTTTAGAGCTTGTTTAGACCTGGTTCAGTCCTGGTTTAGTCCTGTTTTAGTCCTGTTTTACTCCTGGTTCAGTCCTGGTTCAGTCCGGCATCGCAGTTCAAGTCACGGAAATGGGAAACAGACATTATCTGTTTTTTTCCATTGTTCATTTAAACACAAAATCAAAAATTTAAAAAACGAATCGTTATCTGTTAAATTTCATTTTGGTTTTGGAGAAAAATAATGAAGAAATTAGTTGTTTTTTGTTTTCTTATTTTTGGTTTATATTGAAAAACGAATGAACGAATGATACACGGATTAACCAACAAAACCAGTTCCAGATTTTTATTTTGAAAATCTGTTCACCCTAAGCAAAAGTGTCATTGGATTTTGGAGTTGCACTATAAGCAGTATAAAGGAATAACACTATGTAACATTTCTTCTGGAATGTTTCACTGTATGGTTATGGCATTAACATGTCTATTTCCATGGAGACAAGCAGGCGATGCCAATAGGCCAAGTTACAGGTCAGATCTGTGGAAAGATTACCCTACTCACAGTAAGAAAGCATTCCTATATTGTGTTAGTAATTAGCACTTACGTCTAACTAAAACAAGCAGCAAAGCAGTCTTGGATTTTTGAGGTCTTAAAATAAATATATTGGACATACATGATAACCAAGCTTGTACAAACAAAATACCAAACATATTTAGAGACAAAAACAAAAAAGCAGATTATCAAATGTTTTTTCCCAATAGTTCACGGACAGCGCATCATATTTTGGCCAACTCTAACTCCGTGCAGTGTTATTCACGAGGAGCATGCAAAGAGGATTGGACCTGTGTAGTCTGGCTGCAGCTCTGAGCAGGTTATAATCAGTTTGATAATACCCCTCCATGTTAAACCTATGTGCCCCCTCAGACCCTTTAATGCCCCACATCTGCTGCCCCTTAGTGCAATACAACACATATGTTTTCTATTTCTATAATGAGTGATTATTAGTGTAACCCTCTTATCTGATTAATAACAAAAATGCAGAAGAGAAAGTGATTTTTTTTTTATATATAAACATACTAATATTCCCAAATAAGGGAAAGTGGAAAAGAGTACTGCAAATTTGTACTCAAGTAAAAGTACAGGGACGTGACTAAAAAGCTACTCAATTACATGTACAAGTACTACTGCCAAAACTGTACTTCATTTGTGAAAAGTTTATGAAAAATACTTCTCAAAGTTACTAGTTACTTTTAAACTGATTTTTAAGATGCATTTTAGATCAGTGTTTTATGTGAATGAAACTGTTCACACTCATATGACTTTAAATGTAACTAACTACAACTTCAAATTTTACTCAATTACAAGTAAAAGTGCAAATTTAAAAAAAAAAACAACCAGACGAAAAAATATAAACAATTACATTAATGAGAGTATTTGTAATTAGTTATTTTCCACCCCCGATAGTAATAATAATCATTTTAAAAGAATCAAGTACAATCCATGTTTCCAAGGAAGAGGCATAGGGGGCGGTAGAGGACTAATTTATTCTAATCCACAAGAAGAAGAAAGTGTAAACAGGAAGTGAAAGGAGCTGTGCAGCTGCAGATGAAGGTGAGTGGTTTTATATGATTTTTACAAATATGGACAAATACATGACAACAAATTTAATGCACTTTATTATGCGATGTAAATAAAAATAAATAAATAAAATGAAAAAGTAAATGCACTTTATAATGCGATGATCTTGCTAAGGGCTCTTCAACTCTAGAGAAACATGTGTTTTAATGAATGCCCCTATCACAACCTAAAACACACCTACCGGTATTTCAAAGAGCATTGTTATTCTAATTATTTATTTACTTATTTTTCAGGAGTGTAGCCTTAATCTCTGACATTATAAAGAAATAATAATTTAGGGTGACCAGATTTTCAGAATGAAAAACAAGGACACACCCGGGTAGGGAAGGTGACTAAAAATAAAATAGTGAAAACAGCATGTAGCATTGTCTATTCTCGACTCACGTGTGGGTCAGTGTATAATCTGAGACAAAATATAGAAGTGCAGTCTGATGGAATTTGGCTAAACAAATGCAATTTATGCTCCTCTGGTTTAGAACTGATATACTTCTATTTTAGCCCTAGTTTAGTCCTGGTTTAGACCTTGTTTAGACTTGATATAGACCTGATATAGTTCTTGTTTAGACCTTGTTTAGACCTAAAATAGACCTGATATAGTCCTGGTTTATCCCTAGTTTAGTCCTGGTTTAGACCTGATATAGTCCTGGTTTAGTCCTAGTTTAGTCCTGTTATATAGTCCTGGTTTAGTTCTAGTTTAGATCTGGTTTACACCTGAAATAGACCTGATATAGTCCTGATTTAGATCAAAATGGTCCAAAATAAGGACACGTGGAACATGTCGAGTATAAAACTGGGACAAACCATTGGTTTTGAATAAATCTGCTGGGACAGACGGACACAGGCAGGACACTGGGACTGTCCTGGGTGAATAAGTACATCTGGCCACTGAATAACTGCATTGCTTTGCTTCTTAAACTAAATGTCTGAATGAATCTGAGTGTACAGCAAATTACAACAAATTCAGATATTCAAATGTAAGATATATATTAGCTTAGCCTACTTACTTTCTGCTGTCATAGAAAGAAATAGTTGCACTCTGTGAGGGGAAGGGATTCTTGTTAACATTACTATTAGCAGGCTACTACTACTACTACAACAACTGCTAAAAACCCTTTTGCCTACATCTGACTGCAGTTGGTTGCAAGGTGAAAAATACAAAAGCCCGTTCACCAAAATTGGACTTTTTCTTAACCTGAAATCACAATTTACACTTTATATCAAAACTAGGTCTAAACAAGGGATTAACCTAGGGTTAGGAATAAACCAAACCTAATCCTAGACGAAACTAGACTCAAAACATGATCAGATCAGGACAAATGTGTGTAGTGTTGTCATGATTCTAACATGATTCTAACATTTTTATTTCAATTCTAAGGAATAGACTTGATACTCAATATCGATTCTGATACCATGATAATTAAAAAACATTAAACTATGTTATTTCAAATTATCATGCTGTTTTATATCTGTGTAATCCTGCAGTCTATTGGTCTTGGTGTGGATTAAACCTGGACTAAACCTTGACTAAAATGGGACATCCAGACTAAACTAGCATGAGCATCCTAAGAGCCTTACTGCATGCTCCCATTAATAACTAACCAACAGAAATCTAAGCATGTCTAAATAATGGGGAATCGCCAACCATTAAATGCCAATAAATATGATCCTCAAATGGGTGTTCTAGTCCAACCTTTGCCTAGTCCTCTCAGACTGTGACCAACACAATAATCTGATCATTTACCCATGTGAACTCTGATTATGGACCTTTATCTATGAGGGAATCAAGTTATTATGAAAGATCAAGTATTTAAAAAAAGTGACCAGAGCTCCATTTACAGTGGTTATAAAAGAGCTTTAACAAATCCTTATCAGAATTGCAACACAATGCCAGTTTTACAAGGGGAAAGTAAATAGACTCAAGCAATACATTTTTTTTAACAAATACAGACTTTTGGAGCAAGCAGCCTTTATCTGAAATAATTTTTACAAAATATAAGATGTCTGTGTAATCCCTCAGTTGTACAGAGTCACTCACCCTGAACTGAAGAAGCCACTTGGATGAGTGGTGAGACATCTTCCCTCTAAAACTTTTGTTTTTTGTTTTTTGTTTTTGGACACAATATAATATAGTAACAAAGAGGAACAATATAATTGTATAATAATACATTTAAAAAAAGAAAAAATAGCAAGGGACTGGTGTTAAATAAGGCATAATTATACAATTGTATATGCACAAATAAAAATAAAATATAGAAATACAGTAATTCAATATATCTGGACTGTTTACAAGAGGAGAAACAGTGCAAAGATGAAACGATGATTGACAGGGTCATCTACTACATAAAGACAACATAGTATAAGAAGCAAAGTGGTGGTTCATATTTTCATTCCATCTTGAAATGAAGCTATATTGGTTAGTAGCATATTTGTGTGTATAGTAGTATAGTCATTTTGTATTATGTATTCAGTAGAAAAGGTTGCTGAATGTAATATTGTTTGTTAGAGTAATTGTATTTTAATGTAGTGTGTGTTTTGTTCTTTCAGCATGGCGGGCCGCAGAGCTCTGAAGGCTGTGCTCATCGACCTGAGTGGGACTCTCCATATAGAAGACACCGCTGTCCCCGGAGCTCAGGAGGCACTCAGCAGGTAAGCAACAACATGGAAAGGAAGAAATCTACAGGAGGAGGAAAAGTGGGAGCGGGATTTATTTCCTTCTAATTTATGTTATTTAAGTTCTGATGTTATATTATCTAAGAATCAAATAATACATTCATAAATAAAAAAATATATTTACTGAACCTAACAAATACAGACTGTTGAAGCCACCATCTGTAAATTCTTTGACTTTTTGTTACTAGTAGATGGTAGATATGAAGTCTGAACTAAACCACATGGTTTACTGTCAGGAGGACTGGCTGGAGGCCTTTCCATTAAAAATACCCAAGCATATCACTGATCATTAGAAATGACCGAATTGTGGGGAGGGGGGTTATTATTTGTGCAACTCTGCTAAATAGCATTAAACAAGTATTAAAATCATTTAAATTCTTTCTTCTTTTTTGTCAGGTTACGGCAAGCGCCTGTTGCCATCAAGTTTGTGACCAACACGACAAAAGAGAGTAAGAGAAACCTGCTGGAGAGACTGCAGCGCCTCAACTTTGACGTACAGGTAAAGAGTTGAAATGTCAACTGCTATGCTTCAGTACTGTAATATTTCACAACCTGGGGAGTGATAGAGATTGTAAAGTTTTGGACTGGGACTTTACAATCTCTTTGTGTGGACTCTGAACAAAGCTGTTTTAACAGTGATGTCTGATCTTCCCACCTTTCTAAATTTTTTTTGATGAAGATTACCATTATAAATCCATGCTTAAAAAACTTTCTTTAATGTGAAATGTTTTTTTTTAACAGATTCTGGAAGTCATATGTTCCACATGTCATACAGCTATATAACGCACCTCAAAAATTTAAATTACTCTTGGCAATTCCATAGGACAAAGTTCCACTTGCGTAGTAGATTCCCTTCCCAATACGTTGTGACATTTTGGGTTTTCAATATAACATGAGTCTCATCCACAGGAAAAGGAGATCTTCACCTCCCTGACAGCAGCGAGGAGTCTCCTGGAGCAGAGGCAGCACAGACCTCTGCTGCTGGTGGAGGACAGTGCACTGGAAGACTTCACAGGTACAAGCTCAGTCTTTGTTTTCCATTTTCATTAACATCTTCATATTTCTCCTTTCTGAACACCTATAAAAACATACATCAGATTATGAAGTACCTTTGTACATAACAATCCACCAAATCCACCTCTACTCTGATTGCAATGTGGGCAAGGCAGCCTTACCTTAAGTAATTGAGGTTTGGTGCCATCTTTCCATGTGTTACAGGTATCGATACTTCTGACCCAAATGCTGTTGTCATTGGACTGGCTCCTGACCATTTCCACTATGAGACAATGAATAAGGCCTTCAGGTAATACAGTCACTCATAGACCAAAACCACACTGCTTATTTTTGCATTTATAAATCGAGAACAATTTATTTTACTTTGCAGGATGATATTGGATGGAGCCCCTCTCATTGCCATCCACAAAGCCCGGTATTATAAGCGTAAGGATGGTCTGGCCCTTGGTCCTGGGCCCTTTGTGACAGGACTAGAGTATGCTACCGACTGTAAAGCAACAGTTGTGGGGAAACCAGAGAAAACATTTTTTACCCAGGTAACTTACTGGTATATGACTTATTATAACTGTATGATGTTGTAATATAGTACTATATCTATTCATATACAAACTTCCCTTCCACCAGGCTCTTTCTGATTTGGGCTGCAGTGCCTGTGAAGCTGTCATGATAGGAGATGTAAGTATGGTGCATGCAGGGGTTATTTTAATTCATAATTTCTACAAGTTTCCACATGTTATCTTTGTACTGTAGGATGCCAGAGATGACATTGGTGGGGCTCAGAATGCAGGAATGTTAGGAATTCTTGTCAAAACCGGTGAGTTTTAAAACATTTTTGTTCAGTTATGAACCTGTAAAAATAAATCTTTTCAGCTAATAACACATTCTTTTTGTCTTCCAGGCAAATACAGAGGAGGAGATGAGCACAAAATCAGCCCTCCTCCTCACCTGACCTGTGACAGTTTTCCAGAAGCTGTAGAACACATACTGAAGAACCTGCTCTAAGCTCATCAGACGCAGCTCAGCTCTCAACACCTGAGCGAAAATGTATATCAATGCTAAAACACCTGATCAACATCAGTACATGTTTTATCTGTCATATTACTGGTCACTGACGTTTGGGGCAACAGTGGCTCAGTGGTTAGTCATCCACCAACCTAAAGGTCATAGGACTGCTTCCTGCTCATTGTGTCATTAGGCAAGACACTTACTCCACTTTGCATGGTATGAATGTGGTGTGTGCATGTCGGTGGTGGTCGGAGGGGGCAATGGCGCAGATTGGCAGTCACACTTCCATCAGTCTGCTGGTAGCATGGGTACCATGTCAGAGTAGAAGTGTGGATTTAAAGAGTAATGCAATATAAAGTGCTTCGGGTGTTTTGAGAGATGCTCTATAAATGCAAAGCATTATTATTTTTATATATACTGTATTATTTATTATTTAAGCCAATGGAACATGTCAGTCACTGCCTACCATGAAGTCCACTTTTATTTTGCGCAGTAAAATTTCCATCCAGTCTTCTCATAGAAAAAAGGCATAATGGAGATTGCTCTTAAGTATTCATGGTTTAAAAGTGGTAAAAATTGGCACCATTGTCATAGAAATTAACACATCAAAATAAAATGTATCTTTTGAATGGAGTTACTTTCCTTTTTTATTTTAATTGAATGAAGACTGGTTTGTCATTAACTAAAACATGCTTTTTACTACACAGACTTGTACTCTTCTTGCTAGGCTGTGTATCTGTCCATGAGGCTCCTGTGTGGGCGAGAATCATGAAATCAGCCATGGTCACAGTGTCCAAGCAGATGGCAGGAGTGTCTGTATCGACTGAGAAGGAATCAGCATGTTTTTTTATGAATGAACTGAAGATATAGCTAAGAGTAAATGTGTAAAGTGTAGTTCTCACTGTTGTGATTTGACCTGAGAGCATCAAAGATCTTCTGCACAGGTCTCATAGCAGCCTCCTTACAAAGCAATGTGATATCAGAATCCAGAGTAACCCTCCAACTCCTACAAGAAATGAAAGAATAATAAAATGTAGCTTTTTTTATTATTTAGATTGTGTTTGAATTTATTTTGAGAGTTGAGAATTAAAAGTAACAATTCTGGTGAAAACTAAGTTACAGATCAAATCAGTGTCCTATATTTTAGCACTGCATGGTCGAAATAATCTAAAATGATTCTCTTGAGGGTGTATGGAGTTTATTACACATACAACTGACATTGCAAGGTGGAACAAAATTGTTTTCTATTTGAGAAAAGAATTCAGCCAAATTTTGCTGGATGCTGGATGTAGATAAAATAAATTGTAGTTACTACCTCAACCAGCAGGTGTCATTGTGATAATTCATATTTGCCAAGAAAGATATTATTATTGACTTTTATATAACCAATAGTCCCACTGAAATTAAATGTCCTGTATTATGCAAAATTGTTTTAGTAATGCTATGTTACCTCATGAACACACACTTTCGAGTTGTGTTTTGTTTCATTCATACAAGTGTGAGTAACCCTTTATTTTTACATCTGTCTACATCGCCAAAGCTCAAAATGCTCTGTTCCACCTTATGGTGTCATGAAGCATTTGTTTTCATGTTAACAGCCAAAAAGAAGAAGAAGAAAAAAAAAAACAGAAGCCAAAAGCCAAATCTACTACTACAAATACAATTTCTTCTAAAAGTTATGTAACTGCTAAGGTAACAAACCAGTACACATCTAATAAAATATTTAGTTGGTACATACCCAAACGAGTTTCTCTGAATTTCCTCTCCACTTGCTGACGATGCTGGAGGCAGAGATGTTGAAGAAGGTGGTCTTGCACTCTGTAGCTACAGCCTTGGCCAGCATAGTCTTCCCTGTACTTGTGTAACAGACCAGAAATATGTAGACAAAATACTCTAGCTAACAATGTTTTACTGTCTACTGTAATGAAATGTAATGAAATACCTGGAGGTCCATAGAGCAGCAGGCCCTTCCATAGTGACACTATCCCAGTAAATAACGTGGGGGGTACTGTTGAGACAAAGATGTTACATGTCATATGCAAAATCATAGAAGATTATGTGGAAAAAGTGTTTTTATTAGAGGTCCACCACCTGCTTGCCTCTGGGGAGATGTTACGCCTAAGCTTGCCTAGAATACTCCACAGTATGGCATTAAAGGGCCCATATAACTCTATTTCCTGATGTTATAATGTTGTGTCCTCATAACAAACATAATTGGAGTTGTGTTTTGTTTCATTCACACATGTTTAACACACAAACCCTGCATATTTAGAGTGAGTTCTTCTCTTAAACATAAAACACTCAAAAGCAAAGAGTAAAAGTATGTGGTTGCTTTTCTATTGTTCGGGAAGAAGTGTGGCTCTGTTTATGTAAAAGTACGTTGGCTATTAATCACCAGAAAAAAAGAAGCACTTATCGATCGGTCTATGCTCCTTATGGCCTCACACCTCTAAATGAAAACATTATGGTTAGACAACTGTAGCTTAAAGTCCCCGTATTATACTATTTTTTGATCTACAGTATGTTATAATGTTGTTTCTTCATCAAAAACTTACCCTGAGTTGTTTTTTGATTCATTCACACATGTTTAACACACAAATCCTGCATATTTAGAGTTCTTCTAATACAGGAAGTGCTCCACCTTGTGTTTTTAAACTCCATAAAGCTTTACTCAAATCATTTGGATGATTTCAGACCTGGAATTGCCAATTTGTACTGAACTAAAGAAAATTTACTCTTGAGAGCTTTAATTCTTGCTATAATGCTGTTACCTCCGCATAAATATACCTGGAATTGTGTTTTGTTTCATTCACACATGTTTGAGTAATCCTTTATTATTACACTGTCTACATCTCCAAAGCTCAAAATGCTCTGTTCCACCTTGTGATGTCATGAAGTGATAGTTTTCAAGATAAAGGCAATCTTTTACCTTTAGTTCACTTAGACTTGGATTTAGACAAACTTTATTCATGCACAAGGGAAATTACTTGGAAATTATTAGTTCATTGATATTCCAGGGCTGAAACTGTCTGAACGATTCTAGTGAAGGTGTATGAAGTTTAAAAACAAAGTGGAGCACTCCCAGTATTAACACATGACTTCTCAAGAGTGTTTTCTGTCTGAGAGAAAAACTCAGTCTAAATATGCAGGATTTGTGTGTTAAATATGTGTGAATGAAACAAAATAAAAATTTTTTGATGATGAAACAACATTATAACATACTGTAGATCAGAAAATAACATAATACGGGCCCTTTAAGCTACAATTGTCTAACCATAATGTTTTCATTTAGTGGTGTGAGGCCATAAGGAGCATAAACCAATCGATAGTGATTGTTTTTTTCTGGTGATTCATAGCCAACGTACTTTTACATAAACAGCGGCGCACTTCTTGTCGAACAATAGAAAAGCAACCACATACTTTTGCTTTAATAACCTTCCCTCTGACACATGCATTTTAATATTCCCGATGACTTTACACCACTGATTTCTCTGTCTTAAAGCTACAACACCCCTCTACCTACCCCCTCGCGCAGATTAATACAAATGCGCGTGTTCTCCATTCTGACCTTAACCTTCCGATTGAACGATAATGCCGTACGAATTTGGGCATTGTGAGAACGCCGTTATTCAATAAAACTACGCCGAATGGAAAAGATCGCCACATCCGTTTTCATCTCCCCCCACAAATGTCAAAGAGGATGCAGACCGTCTGATTTGCTGTCACCGTGATAGAGATTTGACGCTCCTGTCTACATAATACATACTTCTATCTATCCATCTGTGTATTCTACCCCCAGATATGGATTTCACGTCAGGCTAAAGGAGCGGCTTGACCCCTCCGGCCCACTGTAGCCCTTGCCCCGGCTAAAGGAGATGTATTCAGAATCGAAGCGGGCCAAATACCAGTGTTGAAATCGTGCGCACACGTTAATGGGGTAGACGACGGCCTCTTTGACTAATCGTTTAGCGTCTCCCAGGCCGATGATGTCCTCCCAGCGCACGTTCGGGCTGTGCAAATAGATGTCCTAAGAGAGGAGACGCACACACACATATATACGGAGAAGGTTAGGTCACTGGATGGGGCGAGTAAATAGGTGTCCTTTAGGATGGAGCAGAGCGTAAGGGAAATAGATAGAACATAGAGCTTCATTAATACAGTAGATCAATTCATTTTCGGAAAGGATTTGTGCTGCTCCCTAGTGCTCAGACTAAATATTGCAGTGTATGTTCAGAGGTGGGTAGAGTAGTCGAAAAATGGACTCAGGTAAGAATATTGTTACTTCAAATAATGATACTTCAGTAGAACTACAAAGTAGTGGACCATGAAATGACTCAAATTACTAACATAGAAAGACTAACAATCGAGAGGTTTATGTAATTTGAAGGACAAAATATTATAGAATGCACAGAATTTGACATTTTCAAGTAAATTTTAGTCCACTTCTTTATACAGTATTAGGAGGGAGGCTCACTGTAATATTCTGCAGTATTGCATTACTTCTAAGTCCATTAGGGTGACCAGATGTCCCTATTTACCCGGGACAGTCCCAGTTTTGAGCCCTGTGTTCTCTGTGCCAGTAGATTTATCCAAAACCAGTGATGCGTCCCAGTTTAATACAAGAAATGCCTCTGGTGTCCTTACTTTTAACCAGTTTGATACCTGCCAATAGAAAAGAGAGGTATAAATTGTCATTTGCTTAGGTAAAATATAGAAAAGCTGCTTTAAAATGCACAAAACCACAAAAATGTGACTATACTGACTGATGTTAGTCATAAATGGGCCGAGTACATATAATTACTAGGGATGTAGCAATAACTGAAATACTGTGATATCGTAATGTCAAGTCTCAATAGTATAGTGGACTGTCACAATATATCAAATTACAAGTTCCTTTGCTTAAATGCATGGTTTTATAGTAGCAACAGCTTATGAACATCGGAAATTACATATCCCATGATTTCTTTTCATTTCAGTGCAGACAACATGAAGAAATATGTTTTTGAATTCTTGGGATTATGACGGAAATAATTCACACCAAAATCTTGTCAAGGTATTTTAAAAGCAAAAAAGTGTCCTATCTACAATTATATTAGCCTCTTCAAAATATCACAATAAATATCGTACCGTGACATGGGTATCGTGATAATACTATACCGTGAGATTTGGATGTCGTTACATCCTATTAATACATACCTATTAATCATGCACTCGTTGCACAATTTTATTACTACCAACCAACCCAAAACAGGGGTGCCCAAGTTTTTTATTTTGAATATCTGGTCACCCTAAAGTACATGAGAAAATACTCCTACTTAGTTAAATAGAAAAGAAAGGGCATTTGTTTCATACAATAAATAAATTACAATTATATCTATAAAATATTATATTTACCCTACTGATGATGGTAGCTACCAGCCGGTTCTTTCATTTCTTCAGTTATCCCTGGCTTCAGCAAATGCTCCTGTGTCATTATGGAAAAATTTGAATTCAGTGTCATGTTTTATGTAAGCACTTTATACCAACTTTAATATGTCATATTGTGATAGAATACAGTATGCTCTTTATCACTGTTGCATTTGCCACCATCTATGCAGCCTCGGCCTTCACCAGTCTTACCCTGGGAACA